AGAGCTCAGAACGCAGCTGAAAGGAAACCACAAACTAGAAGAACATCTTAACGACTTGGTTCAGGCCATACCGCAGGAATGGACAAGACCGCTCCGAAAGGAGTCCCAGTGGGGACTAGGGGACTGGGCCACATGGAAGCAGGATGAGAAACCACAGGCTCCATTTAGAATCTGGAATCAGGAACCGGAAAGGAAGGAATGAGCGGTTGCAGATATGTACGAGATCAAGCGCCCGAGAAGTACCACTAGCCAGCTGGACCGGGCAACTAATACTCCGATCGCTATCCAACTGCAACGCCTGCACAAAGTAAGGGTGGTAGAGTCTGACGATTTCACAATCTACAGTCCAACTACACCATTGATGGATTTGGAGGTGGACCCCGCAGAATGGGCATGGAATCTCAGAGGAGGAAGAACTGGGGTGGCCACAAGAATCAACCTTCTAAACTAAACAACGAGAATTGGCTACAGATTGAGAAGAAGGTCGCACCCACAAGCGCCGGTGCTGTCCAAGGGATGTGAAAACAAAGTGGGAGTTACAACAGAGCAGCTACCCAAAATATTGTGGGTACAGATCAACGCGATACACATCGGAAGGGTCAGAAGCCTGCAGTGGCTAATCGCACACGTGGCACTGCCAGTAAACGACTGGTTAAACGACCGCAGGAGCCGGGCGCAGAGGGATCCAGCCAACGCAGTGTGTAGTCTGTCAAGAGAGAGACTCAGAAGCAATGCTTCACTGTCTTCTAACATGCCCCGAGGCAGCGGCCGTATGGGAGAAAGCCAAGTCCCTTTGGAGACAAATCACGTCGTCACCATTCCCTGAGAGCAAAGCAACCATACTGCTAGGCCATGACTTGCCAAGGAATTGGCAGCCATACACGAAGACCATATTCCAGCTATTAAGGCAGTATACCCTATGGACAATATGGAAGAGACGTTGTCAGATTACTATCGAGAAGAGGCCAATGCACCAGAAAGAAGCATGTCGGGCCCTCTATAATTTACTAGAAACAGATCTCTGGGCACAATGGGCGAGTACAGAGACAGATTCACCAATGCCCGGATCAAGAGCAGCAGCTGAAGGCCCGATTCACACAAAAGGTGGTGGGCCAGGGAAAGGCAGCAGCTCTGCGAGGCATCGGACTGCAGTTTAAGTGGAGAGGAAGCGACCACCAAATTGCTGCTCTTTAGTAACTCAAGCAGGTCAAGTTTAGGTAGGTGAAGGGAAATCCTATTTAAGGCATTCTGGGATGAAGAAGCATATTTAACGAAGTTTAGGATGCAGAAGTCTAAGGTTAAAAGTTATAGGTGAGAAAGCCTTAGGCCTTAAGGGCTAAGGGCGCAATAGGAAGCAACAATTGGGATGGAAGGGCAAGAAACTTAGAGGCTGAAGGAAGCAATAGGGGATATTATGGATCTATAGGGATAAACAGAGCTACTACTTGTGCTTTTCATGTCTGTTTTAGCCTTTGTCCAGTTTGTGTGTGCTGGTTGCAGTGAATGGAACGCTGGACCCGGTTTCCGCCACAAGCCCACCTGGGTAACAGCCCCAGTACATTCCTAGTTGAAAGAAAATAGACAGGATAAGCTAGGTTTTATGATAGAGGAAAACAGCTTAGCGGCCATAAATTCAGCTTAGTGGATTTAGACGACTAGGGTTTTAGGTAAATAGGGACTTGGTCTTCACGTCACTGAGGACAGTAGGGTTTAGGGTTTAAGGAGAGCGGACAGAGAGGAGGAGGTGTCGGAGGTGATGGGGAAAGGCGAGCAACAACGGTCAGTTCTAGGGCTTAAGTTGAGGATGGGTGTAAAGATAGAAGGCAGGTTCCTTCGCTTTTTGCTATTTTGTCATTTTGATAACCCAGTTTACTCTCCGCAATCGTGTACATTTTGCGCGTAGGCGCAGTCCGGTCAGCGCCACCCACTAACGCACCGGAGCGCTATTCTGCGCTACCGGGGAACGCCCAGGCCCCCAGGGCCTCGCCCACGGAAGCCCGCCCGTCCTCCCGCGCGTGAACGCGACTGAGTCGCACCACCCGTTCCCGCCCACCCGCGCTTACCGCGCCGCCTTCGAATTTCGAAAGGGATGCGCGAACCAGCCATCGCCAGCACTCCTCCCACCAAGGACGAGCCACCCCCGACCCCCCTCTCCTTCCACATGAGTGCCATCGCGGAGGCGCCAAGCCACGATCATATCAGGAGGAAGTCTGCCAGCATCAACAAAGGTATCATCACCAGTCTGCCCGATCGTGAAGCCGCCGACAAGCCGAAGAACCCGCCAGCCACCTCCCCAGGTGGAGGAGCAGCCTCCACATATTGCAGCCGCCGGAGACATCAACACGCGTCACCCACAGGACGCAGGAACGGAGGGCAACAGGGACCAGCTGCCAGCCACGTCGTCGCCCCTTCGAGACGAGTCGACAGTTCAACAAGACTCCATGCAGGAAAAGCAACGGAATAAAACACGATAAGTCGCAACCGCCCGCCTCTCCCCCCCCCCCCCATCCTCCTCACCTTGGCAAACAGACAATCCATATTCTCAACTCTTTCTCACTCCTAACCTCATTGCCCCCCCACCCCCTTCCACCCACCAACCACCCTCACCTTCCCCATCCCCATCACCAGGCAACCCAACACTCCATCACGACATCTTTGTTGCTCCTCGGAACACAAGGAGTACCCTCATTGCGTCTAGCGTCACGTTAGAAAACAGTTACACAACACTCCCCCTCACCCTGAAACACGAGACTTACCCCCCCTCCCCCTCTCTAGCCCCCACCCCCATCTCCCTCATCCCCCATCGTCCTTCATCCTGCTCATACATCCATTTCCATCCTAACTGACTTCCCCCCGCTAACTCTGTCCGATCTCCTCTCCACACCCTGCTCACAGCCAACGACGACGCCACTCCCGCCCCGAATCAGCTCACCCCCACACCCTAGAGTCGAGTACCCGTCTCCCGCTACGCACTCCTGTCCGATCTCCTCTCCACACCCTGCTCGCAGCCAACAACGATGCCACTTCCGCCCCAAATCAGCTCACCCCCACGCCCTAGAGTTGAGTACCCGTCTCCCGCTACGCACTCCTCTTCCCCCCACCTCCCCAACTGGCTGAAACTCCCTTCCCCGGGCATCATATCCAATCAAAATCGAAAACAAAAAAGATACAAACTCCTCCTCTCCCCGCGCAGCTTGCATGCAGCCGCTTTCCCCCCACAACAAAATAAATTTAATCAAGTAAAAAGCTCTAGTTTCGCGAACAAGCCAGTCTAGACACCCACATCCACTCGACATCTACTCACAAAGCACACCCACACATCATCGACATCACCTCCCGCAAAGCAATTTACCCCCCTCCCCCCCCACCCCAACCCCGGCCAGGCTTAACCCCGACCAGGCCACGAAGGCTGCTAGCATGCACCCGCATTCGCCGTAGCTGTGCCCATTTACAATTACAGAGGTTTTCGGATCTCACGCACAGAGAACTTAGGAAAACAGCTGCCCGAGATTCCAGGTAAACAATACTCCATCAAGCCACGATATCAAGCTTCAAAAGAAAAAGCAAAAGTGAAAGATAAGAAATAGGATCGGATAAAAGTGAAGAGGGGAAAAACAAACCGGAAAAAAAAAAAAAACTGCACGTATTCAGGTTATGCACGCGAGCGAACGAAACAAGCCCACTCCCCACGTAGAAGATATCATTCCAAGTTGATCTAAAAATTAATTAATTAAAAAGAAAAAAAAACATCACCCCAC